ACATCCCTTGCTAACGTTGCTCTTCCGACCCTCTAGTATTTTATCGCAGAATTATTGCAGGCTTTGTTTATGAATCGCAGATTATATCTAATTAGTAATATTCGTTAATTTAATTTACTAAAATATATTTATTTATTTCAAATGGCAGGCGTTTTGATAGCTATCATTGGCCATTTAGCTGTCTTCGGGCTTCACAGAGGGAGGGTTCATCAAAGTAGCAGAAAGTCTAGGGGTGGGGAACAGGAGAGCGATTCACAGATGTAACAGAGACAGACAAAAAGGCAGAGAAAAGGTAAGATGAGCACTGTGGAAGGGGTCGAATATGGCATACAGTGGGGTGATGGTAGTTTGAAGTCAGAAGTCAACTGCCGATAGTAGACTTTTTTGCCGTATGAGTATACGTTGCCCAGGGTGCACCACGTGGAGGTAAGTCTATCGCACACCCCATTTACTAAAATATAGTGCTGGCAAATTTACTCATTTCTATTGCTTGTTTGTCGACGTGCTTATTTGACTGCTTCTGATGTAGAAAAATTGTGACTAGCCACACGAGTCATTTCCATGTTTCATGCGTGTGTGTGTTTCGTGTTTACCCCTTGTCCGAAAAGTGGAGTTGTTTGAGATGCCTAATTTGTTTTTGGAAATTGCTAATTTTCTTATGGAGCTTGAGTATGATGTACTACCTCTGCGTTAATCTTGTATATTTATCTTCGCCTTATTCATTCAAACTCGCCTAATATCTTCAGCATTTCTTCTGTCTTAGATCATGGTTTATTTAGAGCTTGTGTGTGCTGTATGATAACGGTAATAATTTATTTACAATCATTCAGTCTGTACTAAAATCCGCCTAACTTTGCTTCCAGCTTCACCACCCTACTATTGCTGATTTTCTTTTATTTTGTGGATTTTTGTTTTTGCTGGTCATGTTGTTGATATTTATCATCCGCTATGTAATGGGCAATTGCGATGACTTTCGTAAAATATTCGTACAAAGTACTATATGTTTGTTTTTTTAATTAAGTAGTTGCCCTTTTATCTAATACATTTCTTTGATCTAATAGTAAGCAATGTTTTTTATACGTAATGTTTTTCTTCCCACAACCTGATTTATATCTTGCTTATTTCTTTTTAATAAATTAATCTTTGAGACGATTGTCTTGCCTTTGTTGATTTCCACTTTTTTTATAATTTATTGATGTGTAGATAGTTTGTTTAACTGTGACAGATATTTGTTATGAGGATAGATTGGAATTAAGAAAGAATTACATCGCCAGATATTGATTCAAAGTGGTGTAAAATCAAGAAACGCGAGGTTAGTATTCATTGTATTTGTGGTTTGGAGTTAAGTTCTTGTAACTTTGATTAGTATATTTAGTCGTTTTAAACTTGTACTACTTTTAAATAAACTGGCTACTCGAAAGTCAGCTATTTGAAATATTTGTCGCTTTTAAAATGATAGCAGATTTGCAATGCAGCCTCACTGGATCAAAAATTTCTTCAGCGTAGTCATATAGTTCAACAGAATAGTATAGAATACATAAATATTATGTCTTTGTTCTATATGCAACTGGCTTGTTTTTCAATCCTAGATCGTTATAAGGGTCCTAGAATTCATCAACCAATTTCTCAAATCGCTGCATCTGAATCAAAACAATATATCCATTTTCATGCCTTCAGCTGCTCACATTTTCGTTTCGATTTTCGAAATGTGATCCTTCATTCCACTACAAAGCAGCTCGTTGTGCCAGTTGTTTGTTTTTCCCATTCCTACGTTGCTTATATCTGAATCTCAGGTTCCATAATTCTCCCTCTGTACGTTTCAACGCTGATTAAATAGGAGTCAACGTGAAATCCAGGCGCGATGTCTCTGAAATGGGGTTCTATCTTTTTTTGTTTTGGTGATTCACTCTGTGTGTGTCGCATCGGGTAAATGTCATTCAATTTTCTCCCTCTTAGCTTTTCCATTGTCCAACAAATTCATGTTGTTATGGAAGAGATTAATTGATGACTAAGTCGCAACACCCAGTCCTCCTAGTATATCAACGATTTGAATTATCATCTAAACGCTGTCAATTTTTTCACCACCGCTAGTGAAGGGAAGGGGAATCTTGGCCTCAAACACAATTTTTTATATCGATCTAAATCTTTGTGTTTTATCGTTTTGATTTTGGGTGAAAAATGCCTACAATCTAGTATTTTTAGCGCCGTTTGAAGAATGGTGGATCAAATACCCATTGTAGTTCGAGAAAGGGATCTCAAAGTTGCTATGATTTTACGGTCCCTCTGATATCTGCCTATTTGGCATGTATTTCGTGTGATCCATTCGAACCATTTCCTTCTATTCACATTTTCTTCATCACCTTTATTGATCTTTGGCAACAGAAGGAAATGTTGTAACATTTCGCTATGTCGTTAAGATTTAGTGTTTCGATCATAAAATTTTGCTTTGTTGGGGGATTTTTCAGTCGAAGCGAAATCGTGGTTTTGAATCCTTTCTATTTCTCAATAGAAGCTTAAGTGGTAGCAATGGTACCAAACTGAAACAGTTCTTACTTTTGGTAAAGCAATACCCTCTTAAACGTTACATCCCGCCTGTTTATCCATTAGGGTCGAATTTTGTTCACAACGTCGAATCTGCGACCTTGACATGCTTGATGTGTATGTCGACCGCTGCGCCACAGTGAAATATAAGTTTATCAGTAATCCTCAACAGTTTCCAAAATGGTTTACGAACACATTTAACATCCCTTTGTTTTACACTACTTTAATTTGTTAGTATTTCAAATCGAAAGTCGCAGCTTCTATTCCCAATTCATCGTCTCTATTGAGTGTAATATTCGAACGCATAGGTTTGTTTGGCTAACCAATTAGTATCAAAATTAGAGTCTTCACTTATTTACCTCTCTGATGTCATTTCCCTACCAAAGCTAAGTGTCCATCTTTTCATTATAGTCTGCTCTAGAATATTAATAATGATCGCAATATACTTATTCTAAAGCATTAATTTTTTTAGCTTTTATAACTGTTTTAGTTTGTGCAATTTGTAATAATAGTTGGCGATAGTCCGGCAGAAGGTTCCTAGATTTATTACTTTTTGTTCTACACTTTGAATGGTCATTCGATAGAGCATCACTCCAACTTCGCAAAATATGCCAATGTTTACACAAATGATCAAGTTCACGGGCCTGTATGCTTGCAAACCGCCTCCTGTTGGCTATTTATGATTATAATTCGCATCCGAGTTGTATTGACTTTGCTTAGCGTCAAGATTTTGTTTGAGTATGTTTTAGCTGTTTGAGATTTTATGTTTCACTGGACTTGTAGTGACTTTTGTTAAGATATACTATTGTTATTATGGCTCCTCAATGCGAATTTGTAAAGATTGTTTCTCTCTTTGCGCCATTCTAAAAATGCTTACAATCTCGTCGTTTTATTCGGCTTATTGGTAGATTTATGTTGTTTTCTCTTGTAGCTTCTCATTCTCAAATTTTGTGGGTTTTTTAACTGCGAATTTAATTTTTTCCATTGTGTTGTCATTTTCTCGAATGCCAACCCTCCCCCCCTCACTTCCTCCTCCTCCTCCTAGAAACCTCTACCGGCGCATTTCCTGTTACTGTCATTTAATTAAAGGATAGGCTTGAATAATTCAGCTGAACCTATAATTATCTTCAGCCAATTCATTGTCCGCCACTCCCCAAAGTTGTTAAAGCTTGCTGTCAAATTTTTTTCCCAATTTTATATTGCTTGACTAGGGCTGCTCAAGTGTTTCATTCATTTAAAATTCATTTAATAGCCTCAAACCACCCCTCTCTAAAATACCTTTATATAATTGGTCTTTTTTATGGCGAAGCGTTTTAAAAATATTTATTTTTTTGTCAATTATAAATATTCTAGTAAGAGACAAATAGGATTAACCAGACTTCGATAAGAAGGTCAAGTTATCAAAGTTGCTATCATTCCCAACCTGACTTAAACACTTCCCTAATTTTTTTGCACAGTCAATGTTGTATTAGTACTGCGAATTTTTATCGATACTCTTGTTATTTCATTTTTCTGCAAAAATGTTCTACAAATGTTTGACATGAACGTACTTGCTTTCCGATTTATCGTCCTGAGTATTCGCCTAAATCAACCATCATTTGCACTGTTCTCTATTTAGACTTTTTCGCCTTTTAATAATTGGAATGCCGTATCCATATAGATTTCAGACTTATACTCCTTGATAATGCACAGAAAATCATGGCAGTGGTGAAAGAGTTGACATAAAATTAAACTTAAGACTACTCAGCTTATTTAGTTGTCAATGTCTATCTCAATTTTAACCCTAAATTATTGTCAGAAAGCGTGGATCTCACTCTTCGTACTCTGGTACATCAGGAGAAGTGTTGTCTGAAATCTGTTTTTCTGACTTGATCATGATAATTTTTCTTGTTTCAGGCACCATCGTGACTCTTCTGCTTCTGGTCTCGTCTTTGATCATGTTTCCTCATCCAACACCTCCGACTACGCAACACCTTGTGGAGGTCCATCTCAACGCGTCTCATTTGAAACAGCTGCTGTGGTGCCAACAGCCACACCGGAAATGTCTGCCAATAATTCTATTCAACTGAATGCTACCTCTCCTCTTTATGAAGAACCTGTCAGCTTCATTCAGCGTCTTTCTTCAGTTACGTCTAGTCAGGATGAACCCATTCCTGGTTACAGTCCTGAACACAGACAACTCAGTCATCCACAGTTGGGGACTCAAAACCGACACTCTCTTTCCTCTCAACATGGTTAGTGTATCAAAATAATAACTTCCCCTTTACGTTTTGCACACACTCTAATATTAGAGCAGGTATTCAAGCCATATTCCTTTAACGTCGATTTAGTTGAGTCAATTGAATAATTTGCATAGTTTGAGAACAATGTTTGCATGTCAAGCGCATTTTTTGTCTTTTATTTCAAGCTGGTTATTTGAATCTGCTTCTTATCTGTCCGAGTCAGACAACTTTGTGAATCTAGATTTTCAAACAGCGCTAATCCTAATAAAAAGCTACCTTGAAAGTCAGACCAGAGTAAACTTAAAATTCCTCTCGCGAAACCAACGGTCATTTTAAAGGCTAACTGGCTGCCTCAGTCTTTTCCGATTGAGACGATCAAGGATCAAATATATCCACGTTTATATTGAAATATTTGAAGGCAATAAGAAAGGAAAGAAGGAATTGAAAAGTTAGGGGAAGATATCCGTATTGATCGAATCCATATTTGGTCATCATCAACTGGGGTACTTTGGTTTTGTTCTGCTAGTGGTTATGATTTATAAACTATTCATACACATTATCCAGCGTGCACTCTATACTTCAACTCTGTGCGGTTTCTTTAAGTGGTTTACGGACATCATTGTCCCGTATATTTACGTTCTTATACTTTAGGTTTCCTGTAGGCATATATTCATGTTCAAACGTCGTAATACTCCAGCTGTTAATTGAATGATTCAGTTTTTTAGTGAAACAGCAATCGGATTTTCTAAGAGCATTATATGCAAATTGAGTACACAGGGGAGTCACTGTTCTCCGTCTTTTGTCACGTTTCATTTATTTCAAATTCTGGACTTGGGAGCTTTTATTTAAATTATCAGAACCTTTAAAACTAGGATGATTGTAGAGGAAGTCTATTTTTTCCGAAGTTTTATAAAAAGCACTTCAAGCTGTCTCCAAAACAGAATTAGACACTTTTGTTACTCGCTTATAACCGTTGTGCACGTCTAGTTAAATTTTAATTTTATCGGATTTCAGCTAATTTTGTTGTGATTACTTACCTAAATATTCAAATTACGATATTTGTATTTGCGAATTAAAACAGTTGAACTTAACTCTTCCCAGTGGTGAATGTATTTGTGTCTAGGCAATCGCTAATTCGACGAAAAATGTCCAGGAAGGAGATCATATGCTTTCTGTTCTTGTTGGAAGGCGAACAGAACCACTGATTTCCTATGGTAAAATACCCCTAAAATCTTCCTTTTAAGCCCAACAGTCGAATTTGTATTGTTCAATAAGAATTTAAGAATTGAATCGGAAAGGTACCTTTTTCTTATCTCTATCGGGTTATAAGTTGTTGTTTAGCGAGAACAAATTCGATCGAGATTATTCTTGGCTAGTCTAATGTTAATTTCGAAAAATACTATCAGCTGATTTCTATTGGCTATGCTATGGCCAAGCATTCAAATTAATCAGTTAGAGTGTGATCTCTAAACCCATTCAGCAACCCTAGAATTTAAACCTTGAAACTCTAAACATCCAGCTTCATGCATTTAATGGTCTTGCCTCTACCATTTGCTTTGTTTTTAGTGTTCTTAGAGTCAGAGTTTTTTACATGTTCAAGCTTATAAATATTTCCTTTACAAATTTAATAATAATTCTAAACTTGCACTAAGTTTATGCCTTTATTAATTTTCTTCAATCGATTGCGCTGAATAATCGCCCCCAAATGAAAAGAGGGTTAGAATGCAAGAACGTGGTCGGATATATATGTTGCTTCCGCAATACTCAACTCTTTCAACTGCGTTGTGTTCAAATAAATTTGAATTTTCCTTTATTCTGAAATCTTTTTTGCGACCGTGGTCGCTCACTTTGCGAGTGCAAAGCACCCTTGCACCTCGGCTAATACTATGTCTATCAACACTTCACATGCGAAACTCATCACTATTTTCTTGCATGCTCTCTGAGTTCTTCGTGCGTGTGCGCGCCTAGTGAAGTGTGACTCATACTCCGGCATATGGACGACGTCACATACTGACTAATTTTCATCACATACCTCAAGCCAAGCAGCGCGGCCTTGGCACTTATGATTCATGCTGTCGTCTTCCTTTGCGTTCTTCTATGAAGCAGACTTCTCTCCCACTCTTCGGGCTTTGAATATTTTGCTGGTGAAGCGATGAATCAATTATCCACCTCTCAGAGTCCATATTATGCACCAAATTACTTAAGTAGCTGGAATTTAGAGAATCTTACGCTAAATTTGGTGAACTTTTGTCTTCACGAGCTTTAATTTATTAAAACAGTTTTAGTTTTCGAAAGTTATTCTTATAAGATGTATAGATCTTTCTACAATTTGAATTCAAATATTGGTTTTAGTATTCGCTTTGCTACATACAAAGTGATTGAATGGTATCTCTCAAATAAGTTAGTTCATAACTTCAGAAGTTGCTTATTGCTTGGCACTTTTTTGAGAACTTGAACTATTCAAAATTCTTAAGGAGGTGGGGTGTTACTTTCAAGTACCCTGCATATTCAACTATCCATTTATAATGCACGTTTGATTAGAACCTGCTGATTTAGGCTCAAAATTCCATGGAGCTATAAACATGCCTATTGTACTGTCTAGCCTTCGGTCTTGTAAAACAAATTTCCCAGTCCAAAATTAAGCCTCTTTAAGGGCTCACAGTTTAAGCTCAATACTTCTTATAGGTGTGTTTTTTTCAAATATCTGCGTGAATTCTTAATTTTAAAAAGCAATTATCAATCGAAATTTAGGTACTAATTTGCTACATGCTTTCGATTATTTACATTTTTAATAACAGCGATCGGGAAAATCGTCGTCTGCAATTTTAAAATCTAGTATGAGCTTAAATATTTTAAATTATGCATAAAATGTAATTAAAATTTGCAAAGAAAAAATTTTCGTAATTCTTAATGACTGGGAATTTCCTATTTTAATTTACTTCTCCTGCATCCTTCTCCTACCTTTTTTTCAATTCCCATATTATTAATGAGATGTATAATTACCTTTCTAAAATTCCATAACAAACTTAGGCGTTCTGTGAATTTTCAGCATTATCATTTCCCCGTGATACTCTTGATGTCCAGATTACCTAATTTTGTCACCCGTATTCTTTTTTGTAAACTCTAACATGTCTTTCACATTCCCTTCTCGTGGTTTGTGATTGTTAGATATTTGTATATTTAATTCTGCAGCTTCTTTTGGAAATTGCCTATTGGTCACTCTTTTCTAGATTAGATCAAATTTACTCCTCAATTTCTTTTCATTATATTCTAATCTTTGTTTAAGTGGCTTGGAGTTGCGTATGTGAACAGTGTGCTCATAGTAAATAAAACACTCATCGTAAACATGATCACTGTCTCTCTCAATGTATTTCGAAAACGAGATATTCACGGCTTCTTCTGAATTAGCTTAATTTGAGGACATGCGTCTGATATTTTCCAATTTATTAGTTCACGTTTTTTTATCAATCTGATTTCAATCCCAAGATGTCGTTAGCGCTTTTTTCCTGCCCTTTGATTACATAAAGGCCTTGGCTTTTTTGACATACTTGACTATAGAAAATAAGTGAAAGACCGTTTGTAATTTCGATGATAGTGTTATTAGTAAATTGGTATGTTGTTAAAAAAACCTTATTTTAGTACTTGAATTCGATTTTCCAATTACTACTATGTGAAGGAGTCTGTGCTTCATTGCGTCGAAACATTCGAAATTAACTTAAAATTATTGCATACGCATAAGTGCTGTTATTCATACCCTATCTACTAAGATCAATCATCTCAATCCTCAATATTAACAATTTTGTATTACATTAAAATGTGTTTCCATATTCTTTTGTATTTGAATTATTATAAATAGGTGGGCCCTATTATTTCAATTACCAATTACATTTAATGGGTAGGCATTTCCAAATATGTTCGATCAATGGTCTAGACTGAGCTAGGCTCTTAATAAATACTTAGCGATTAATTAAAAGCTTTTTTCAAGGGTTGTCTATTGATGTTCAGTGCTCGTAAATATCCATAGACAGTGATTGATGACTACATTTATAACCTCGATAACTCTTTCTAAGGTAAGGTTATTTCTGTCGAACATCTGTTTTAACCGCTTCTAGGTCTAAAACGTGCTGAGCTCTTCTTTTCTATTACCCATTTTAAGGTCATATTTAATATCTATTAATTTGATCGAATGTGAAAATGCTAATCGATTAAAAAATATGGTATATTGCTTGTGATGTCTAATGGTATCAAAGGAAATCGATGATGTTGTTATTTTAAAAAGCCATGATATATATTGTAATTTACTTTTTTAATCTTCCCTGAATCTTAGAATCCCTGGTCTCTTCCACATCTCTATCCAATCACCTTCAACAATCAACACCTTCGGTGAATGAAGGATCGCCTATTGCTCCCACTTATCCAACTGTTATTGAGACCCCAGTTCCTGATACCACTGATCTTGGGACGCTTTTGTGAGTTCTGTGGTATTCTTTGCCATTTACTTCTTTCCATTTCTAAACGAAGAAAGGTAAAAATTATGATTTTAGAAATTCTCATGAATCTTTTGTTCAGTATTTGAAACCAGTCTTTGCAAATATTCTTTGTGAAAATGCCATGGATTCATTTTAAGGTGTGTCTCAATTCTGCAATGACTTCAATTTAGCTATTTTTAATAAATAATTGTGTCACCGGTTGCTTGTTGGCTTGAGCGCTTTAATTTCAAGTTAGATTTCACGTTATCTAAGCTATGAACTATATTCCTATTCAAATCAGCTACGGTTTCGAACGATCTATTTGAATGTAGATTGTAATTAGCTAATTTATCTTATATTCACCCTTACGTCCAATGTTAAATTTCATTGACATGATATTCGATTTTTTACTTAAACTACGACTCAACTGTGTTGTAATTCATTTCCTTTCAAGCCATCATTTTTAATTTTGTTTGAACAAGATTTTATTTACCCATTTGGAACATTTTTGCAGGTTGCTAAGAGTGAAGGAAAAGCGATCACGAAATAGAAATTTGCAAACGTGCTCGGTTTTGTATGGATGACTCATTCTTGTGCTTTTAACACTACTTTCTTTTTTAGATTAATTTTTCATCCCTTTCAATGTTTATTTGGCTTACCACAAATAATACAAATAATAAATTCATTAATTCAAGGATCAGTACAGGAATTTACACTCAGATTGGTGTGAGGAAGTATCTTAAGCAATGTATGGGTTGATAATGATTGTTCTTACTCGACATCGTTTATTGGATCTAATTACCTCTGCATTTAATTTTCCTAATTCTTATGGACTTTTTATGAACGGTTGTTTAACCTTTCGCTGTCGGTTAAAAGAAGAGGCAGAAGCAGATAGAGCCAAATTCCTTTTTTTGCTGTTTTTCGTTTGTTTGCGGTCCACTTGCCATCCCTCGAATGAGTCTTATCTACGACCAACTGTTGGTGTCTAACTCCTTTTTTACCCCTCGATCACCATCTGTCTGCTTTGTTTTGACGGGGCTACTATCCAGCCTCTTCTCGAAACGCCTCCATTCTTTATTGCTAGCTGAAAATGTCTCAACCTCTTTTTATTTATTTTATTCATTTCTGCTAGATATACCTGCATGGGTGTCAAGTAGCTTTCCGTGTAGTAATTGGAGGTAGGAGAAAGGTGATTTGTGAATTCAATCTTAAAATAAAGGTTCTGCATGTGTTTATTGTATTATCGCTTTATTTATTATAACTGTTTTCCTTTGGGATAATTTGGTGCAAATTATTGCAATTTATGATTTTCAGAAGCAATGTTTTGGTTTCTTTAGAAATGTTTCGTTGACATTCGAATACCATTGTCTTCATAAGTAGCGTATACCCGAATTGACAAAGTATCAACGACTAGTTGTTGGTTTTGCTAATAAATAGGTGAATTACTATGCATTTTTAATCCCCCGTCATTCATACTCAATTTACCGTGTCTTAAAGTAAGTTATAGCCAGACACTGACTACCTGATCGCGGGTCGCTTTGAGATGCTCAGTCATGTTGGTGTCCGAGTAAGTTTTTCTGAGTTTCTTGTTTCTGATCACTTATTCGTCCGTTTCTTTTGCTTTTAAATGATGTGCTTATTTATCTTAGCCGATTGATATATAAATGCCACTCTTGAACCAAATGAATATCTATTTTAAGCAGCACAGTGAAGCTCAGTCGAGTCTAATTGCAGTGTTGACGTCCAATGAGGTATCAATGCTATCTTTGCTGTCTCGATATTCATATCTCATTCATGATGTGTAGATGTGTATTCTTCTATACATTTGATCATCAAAGCAATTAGCCGCCGGTGAAATGGTTTTCATATCTCCTAGCGTCTAGAACCAGTGCCTGTGATATACTGCTTTTTCGCTAAGAACAAAGCAGAACTTATGATTCACCGTCTCATTTAGGTAGATTAATCTTAGCAACTAGGCGTCTTTAATATTCAACAATAATTAGGTGTGCTGTTTAATTGTAATTTCGTCTCATTTAGAGGAGTAGAGGGTCTGGTGCTAGTTCTTGAACCAAATAATTCACGAACAGTTGAAGTCATTAAATGTTTATAGATATCTTAATGACCCTTTTAAGTTTACGAATGGGAAAAATTTAGGGACGGTGTCTTTTATGCTCTAATCGTTCAAATTGTAAAGGATCGTGTGCATTTAGGCAGGTATGCTAGGCGATTAAGAAGACCTAGCCATAATTGATATGGTTTCAGACTAATTTGTATGGACTAATCCTCTTGAACTAATCCATGAGATATTCGAAAGCTTCTCCTATTGAACTTTATTGCTGGTGTATATATCAGTTGCTTACTTAAAATTTGTCTTGTCGCAATCCTAAATGTTTATTAAGGAAGCAAGGCACTTATATAGTATGGAAAATATTTGAGGGTAGGATATTTACTCACTGTCCACATAGCAGTCAGTGCAACCTCTTTCAGTTAAAATATTTGAAATAGATAAATTGCAATTTCTACCCTATTTTTCTTAGAAAGAAATTTAATAAGGGGGTTAGTTTTGATGCCTTAATTATTGTGAGGGGCAGTGACAAGGTAATTGAATGCGTGTTCGTTTACCCATGGCAGTTTTGCTCCTTGCGGTTTCGGAAATTTTCATTAGTTTTCTTTTAATCAGTCTATATTTTCACACTGAAATGTCTCTTTGAATGATATTTCCCTATGATCATTTAAACTAATTTGTGTCGTTAACAATAGAAAGTATTTCTGCTCCTAGTCTTTTCTAATTTAAAACCCTCCAGGTTAAGCTGGCATCTGTCGCTTGTTAGAAAACAACCCTAGAATTGCTCCCTCTCTCTCTCATGGATGGACTCTTTGATTGTTGATCATGATTTCACTGGATTTGGCCCAGATGTTTTACATCCCCCTGATGCACTTATCTTTTGAAATAATATGACTAGCTCTAGGGTTTCTCTTGGAAATGGCTCGAATCACCTAGTAGAAAGCTCTTTTTGCCAACTACTCGATAAGCTTTGAAAATCATGAACCTAGGAATTAGTTCCTTCTCACTTTACCTTGCAGTATTTCTTTCTTACAGGGTAAATAATAAACAAAAAATCATAGGACTCTTGTTTGCCTATTTTCTCTTTTTCTTGCCCACCTTAATGGAATATAATTTGGAAAATGCTTATGATTTCCTCCGGATAATAACATTTCCTATTCTTGTATGTTTTAATATCTGTTATGATCCGAAGGACTTTGTTGCCTTATAATTTATTGGAGGCAAATTGTGTCTCCTTAACCAATACAGTTTAGAAATATTCGACTCCGAAAGCCTGTCTAAGCAAGTACAAGTGAGATTGGGATAAGATAAAGCATTACAACTACTATTTTAGATGTTTGAGCTAATAGTATTGAATTTTGACGTGTTGACTTTTTATTGAGGGTGGTTGGTTGGTGACCAATCAGACGATTGGAAATTAATTTTCTTCCACCGCGCATGATTTACCAAGAATGAATAGCCTGCCTTGAATCCAAGTCATTTATTCTGCAAAATTTGCAATCTCCATTTCACTTATTTTTTCTTCCAATTAGGCTTCCCAAGAAATCATCAACCTCCTCCCGCCGCGGGGTAGCCCCTCTATACACTATATCCGGTGCCCTTTACCATCGCTACAAGCCGAATAAATGGACTCGCTTGGGTTACTGTGTACTCACTCCCGATGCCCACCTTCTCGGATTCCGCTCTTCAGCCAACCAGTCCGCCTCTCCAGCAGTTAGCCTCTTTGTTGCTGCTGCTTCCACTGTAGCTGTCTATGCAGGGCGGGAGTCTGGAATGCAACATGTCTTTAAGGTGACTCATTCAGCGGGGCTTGTAGGACCGAATAGTGGGGACTCTGAATTACTTGCAGTATCTACCCATGGTGGAAGAGCTTTGGTATTTGCGACAGACTGTGAGGAAGAGGCCCTGGCATGGATTGATGTGAGTCTTCTCAGAGTTTCCTTGAACGAAGGAACATGAAATCTCGTTCTTTTCCGTTTCATTGTATAAATTCTTATATGCTTGAGATTCTTTTTAGACTGTCATTGATTATCTACGTAAAGGCAGTCCTTTATCGTACAAATAGCTCCAGATTTCGTATAGTATCTTTTTCAAGATTTCGCTAGTTATTCCTGTGTTAAGCCTTTTCTCGAGCTTGTCGAAGATTTGCAACGTCTCCCTTGAGGTTTCGCATAAAAATATTGCGGAAATTTCTCCAGATCCTTGGCATCACAAGCTATTTGGTGGTAATAAAATCGGGTACTGGTAAACATTCTGCTCCCGTTTCTTAGCAGATCTTGATTCCGATTTTCAAGGAATCATTTCACTTGTTAGCAATTCACATCAGAAATTCACTGTTTTGGAGCACGCATTACTATTTGTGTGCATTTTTGCTTCGTCCTCAATTGTCAAATATGGAAGTGCTTGTGTGCCTACCATTGTGTCCTATATTGAGGTTGCATACATAAGCATCTGTGTATAGCCGTGAACACGCTTTTTCTCCTTTACGTATTGTTTTTTGTTGACTGCAATTCGAAATAGTAACCTTGTGTCCTATGCCAATTAATTGCTCTTACTATCGAAAGTCGAATGCAAACTCGTGTGTAAAACTCCGGGTTACTAAAATACAGTCTATTCTAAACTTTCTCCTTTTCGCCCATTCTAACAGGTGAACTTTAACTTAGCGGAATACTTCCGATTTCTAAATTCACCCGCTCTCGTTTTTCTTCTAAAGAAGATCCTAACAGCCTACCTGCATTTTCAGTCTGCAATAGTTTGTTTAGACACAATTGAGACAATGATTTTTGGATGTATAGTGCTTCTTTTGATAAACTCAACCAATTTTTTTCTAAATCTTTTCCGATTTAAAAGTCTATGTATTCCTTGTTTTGACATTGCCTAATTGCAGCAACTTTTTTCACTAAAATATTTGGTGACAAAAAAGTACACTTGGCTTCGCTTCGAAATTCCTTCGATATGTGGGTCGGTAAACAAATTACTGGAACATCTTATTCTTCCCTAAATGTTTCCCATCCGTATAAGCCAATCTGTGTCAATCGAAATACGATCGATTTGCGGAGTTGTCGTTGATTTTCCTATGATTAATCTTGTGTCATTGAAACGACTCTATCTTATTATAGAAGTTGTAATCATCTTGAACGGGAGCCTATTTTCCTGAATCGAAATCTTGTTCCCTTGACCTATCTATTTTCTTATTTTATGCTGCTATGGCTTATATCTGTGGTAGAAATTTTGCACGTCTTATTCATGGGAAAGCATCTGCATAAGGGTTCAAACAAACATATTTAGTGCCGTGTTAAACTGAAGAGAAGATCAAGATTAGGTTGCCCATGAAGAACGTACATTAACTTGAACATTGTAAGCCTTTAGTTGCTCCTATTCTCCTATAAGGTGTGTAGTTCACCTTAACTTCATTTAGTTCAAATTTCATGAAGCAACATTCAAATTGTCAGGTATGTGTCAACAATGATCGTGACCTGCTGGAGGGTTGAATTAATCATGTCTGCCTATAATAAAGGGCTGGTGAAATATACTAGCCGAGTGTTTTACCGTAGTTGAGCTTAATTTATTATGCTTCAAGCATTAAAAGTAACGCTTCCTTCATGATACTTGTTGTTCGGTAAAATCGCAGTGGCTTTTACTATGTAGTGTTTCGCTGTTAAATCTTTGTTAAACCCTGGGCACAAATGAAATTAATTTTGTGAATGGAGCGTTTTTTGTTAATTTAACATCCTTCTGAATAGTTTTATAGTTAAATGAGCTTGTACGTAAACCAAACATTCATCTAATCTTCCTCATCCTATTTTATTTAGCAAATAAACCAATACGCCCAAGGTGTCACTCCTAGTCGAGTGGAATCCTTCACCAACCATTTTTGTCGCCGTCAGTCCACCTCTACCCACCGTCAACACCGTCGTCGACCAAGCGACATTGGTGCTGACGTCCTCTCATTGAATGACTTCCCTCGAGTCGCTTCCACTGTCTCTGTGGTTCCCTCTCCTCGGCGAAAGAGTGTTGTGGTTCTAGCTGGCTCTAGAATGGAGACGAAATCATCCAGACCCCATAGTTTATTCCTTCCGCATGCTTATACTTCACCGAATTCGATGGAGAATCAGCAAAAAGCACCAACACTTCCTCTTCTACCTTCGAATAGTTTCGATCATAGTCAGGTAAGTGTAATCATCCCGTTATGAAAAGAATTCCGGTAGAGTTACTCTTTAAATTTTAAACGATTTTCGCCACAGTGTAAGAAGGTGCACAGCCCCTCATAAAAGTAAGGCTGGAGTTTACAACATGTTCTGAGTGCAAATTGAGGATCTACAATGGCACTAATGATGGATGCATGAATCAGGAGGTGCTAGCTTCCCCATGCTCTTCGGCAATATTAATAAATGCTTTGGTGTGCGTGATTCTGTTCTTTACCGTGGCTTATTTCCTATTCTTTAGTGGCAATGTATTTTCCGCGTCAGTTTTATTATTTGACCTCTGAGTTATAACATGGCTGTAGCTGCGCAATGGAAAGAAGGCAGATAAATTTTGGCGTAAATTGCACCTCATTGCTAAGATTGTAGAAGTGCTTTCATTTTTTTGTTGTAAAGTAACCAGCGAGGAATAACGCATCTTACAAATCACGGTAAAATGCTACTGATTTTTAGATTTTGTAAATGATGTTAAATGATATAATTTCCTATTGCACTTAGAGACTGGTAGTGCGTTGTTTGTTTATTTAAGGGGCTTATCTGACAGCAATTCGAATGCGTTGATTCTGTTGATAACAATTTCTAGAACATGTCTGTTTTTCTGCTTAACAGGAAGACAGTGGATTCTCGGGTTTAATCTCCTCCAGTAGTTCTGCTACAGACGGAACCACTGGTGAACCCGTCACGGAGCAACGAATTCCTCTTACTATCGGTCCGAATTCTAACATCCTTCGGCATCAGCGTTACAGTGTCGCATCAACAGCCTCCCCCTCCATTTCTGCCTACGACCTCCTTCAATCTCGCGCTTCAGGGCTTCTCTCTTCTGTCAGACGTAAAGTTGCCGACTCCCTCAACCTTCCAAAACGAAGATCCCTTATTCTTCCCCCTCGAACTGAAGATTTACTGAATGCTAATCAATCGCCTTCTTCTCCTCAAATTCCTCGTCAAGGAGGTAGCGATGGTGGTCTGGTGGGCTGGACACAAATGGATACTGTACTTGCTAATGATTCTGGAAGTTATCTCTCTGCAGATTGTTCGGTCGCTTCTCCAAGAACAAGGTCGTGGAGAAGTATTCGTGGAAAACAACAGCAAGTAAAGTTGGTTGCTGCTTCTTCTAGAAAGTCTTCTGATCCACCTCCGATAGATGACTCTGTATTGGCTGGTAAGCTTTGAAGTCTTTCTTGCTATTGGGGTTAATAGCGTTTAAAGGAGAGTTTATGGCAGAAGGTGGTTAATGGAAATATAACTATTGCGTTGAAGGATACGTAATTAGAATTAAGACTTTCAGAAAGTTTTAATTCGCAACCGATTAATAGCAAACAGGAATCAAGCATTTCCACTTACTCTGGGGCGCTTAAACTAGTTGTAGGTGGGATAGCGTTTAAACGTATCCCATTCGCAAGAATTTTAATGAGAAGTTTTTCACTTCCATTAATCTTTTTCAGTTTTGACTTTCGACGCCTCTTCGTTCTTAGGAATTCACTATTTTAGACATTTGAATTCCTTCTGTAACTGAATCGGAAATATGCAGTAGCGATTTTGCTTTCCTTTCATCAAACGTTCGGTGAATCTTTTAAAACTCACTTTTATTTTGGAAAAAGGTAAAATTTTAATATTAGGCTAAATGAATGTGGTGTGCGTCACTATTTAAAATTCTCAGAATTTGTGTTTGCTATTGATACGAATCTACTTTCCACTAATTTGCTGGGCATTGCCCTTTCCAACTTTACGAACTTTCGGTTAGGAAAAGGGCATAGTTAGTGGAAAAATATTTATGCTTGGGGAGAATAGGCGAAACGTGCCAGCTCCTAGAAAAAAGTTCAATGTTGCTTAATTGGAAGGTGCCAAAATTGTGAAAATAGTCGACAATCATTTTAGAAGTAGTAGATGCGGTTGAATAAATTGTTTTTGGAAGTCGTGCTTGATGTTGAATTGATGACGGATTAGTCTGCTAAAATTTTGACTTTGCGCACCAATTAAGGTCACTGCAATCTTAAAATATTTATCACCTTCCCCCACTTGCTATTTATCAGATTTTCACTTGGTTATTGCCAATTTGGTACTTGTTGATTCCAGTTCGCTTTTATTCATTCGCTCCTTTTTTTGGAAATGAAAATTCACAAATTAACACTGGAAACCTTTAATGGCGCTTGTTATCGAAATCTATCCTGTCAAAGCACTGCAAATGAGCTTTTGCTTTCTTGCAAGTTCGTCTGTCAAATCAAGTTGACCTACTGACTTACGACTGGTCTTCTGCTATTATAAGTGGATTTAATGTGTTGTCACAGTCTATCCTATCAAGTTATTGCTTAAATGTTTTTGTTCTTATTTCCATAAACAAAGTGTTTCCGAGTACGTTGTATCTTGGCATAGAAAGCATATGAATGGTGTAATTAATAATGTTTTGCCTCGACGCTATGTAACTGTTTATATGCGCAATTGTTCGTGGAATTTCATTGGTGTCATGTTTACTAGAAATTAGTTTAAGGTTCCATCATGTCTTTCACATAGATTTTTGCTAAGGCATGATCGAATCCGATTGCGCTTTTTTGCTGAAGTTTTGCTGAATAGTTAGTCTATTGGTAGTGTTTAGACCCTGTGAATGAACCATTTCTCCTCCCCATATTGTTACTGCCATGTAAACATTTCTTTATAATATGAGTCATTAGGAAATCTTCACCTCTTATGTTTTCACTCACTGTTCTGTAAATGCTGTAGTCTGTTAATTAGGTATTGATATAAGTTGACGCCATAATTACCATGTGAATTCTTCATAAATGCGTTACTGGAGTTATTCCACAATGTCCTGGAAGAAACTTAGGATTAGCTTCTTGAGGATCATAATTATGCCCGCAAGCAGTCAAATTCCGTTCAGCATCTTCCTTTTGATCTTTGTATCTTGAAGTACTTTTTTCTGGATAGGGTCACGTCAAATTGTTTTGGAAACTTGAGTTGGGGTTTGCTAGAATATAAGTTCTGTTTCATTAAGTTATGAAGCGCTATTACGGAAACGTCAACATACACCTCTGCAAACTGATGTGCCACGTATATCGTAGGCAATAAGACAGGTACAACGAATACAATAATGTGTTTTTTTCCCATTTGAGTGACCCAAGATCGCTACTCTATGGCCTTAGACAAGTGGTGAAAATCCTCTTTAGCGGTGGATTACGGTGGTACATCAGTGTGCTATCACAGTCTTGACTTGATTTCTTTAACATTCGAGTTTCGTTTTCAGTTTACTAACCAGGGTGGCATCTATACCACTGTACCATGATTTGACAAAATTACTGCTTTAAAATTTCGTCATATTATGGATTTCTGTTGTTTTTAATTTCCATATTGAAAGAGTAATTAATTTAGGTTAGTAAAACTAGCTAAACTCGTTTCTAATAACCTAGTCACAAACAAGGCAAATTGGGCGTAATCCTTTTTGTTAGTAGAAAATTGTAAGTGGTCTGAGTAGATTTGAAGCTTACTAGGGAAAGGGTGCTAAATGTAATGAAATATGTAAATCGCGAGATGAAAAGAGGGGGGATAGATGAGTGTACCGAAAATTCCACTTTCCACGCTTGTATTTAAGCACTTATTTGGTTTCCTCGGTGATATTTATGGTACCTTCATACTTTTCTGCTCAAAAAAGTTAGAACCTGACTGGTCATTAAATACTACAGGCTTTCTCATTGGCTGCTTATGTCATTAATATTAACCGTCCTAGTTCTGTATAGTAGCTACAAATGCCACTTTTAATACGAAAAATAGGCATTGGTACGGTTATGCGTTGAAGATTTTTACGAAAGTTGAATAAGGATGCTAAGCCACTTAGAAGAAGCAATCGCCAACGCAAGAAAATATTCGGCAGTGGGTAATCCGCAAGGTCGTTGCAAATAACTTTTACAGGCTTGTCTCGTTTATTACTCAAGCGTATAGTAAAGCTTCTACCTTATTTGTCCAATTCTGAATCGTGTGCTCAATTATTGTTTGACCTCAAATTAATTTAACAGATTATATGTGTGCTATAAAATGGGTAATATTCGACGTCGGTTCATACTAATTACGAATTTTAGAACTTTACAATATTTTAATTAGATCACCTAAGCTCAAGGTTTTGTGCTTTTATTTTGAAATTATGAATTTTAAATCAGTCAACCAGTTGGCTAATTTGAGCTTGTTAATTGATAATATTTCAGAGGTGATATATTTTTATCTTAATGATTTGAGTGACAACACTAGTTCGGCAATTAAATGGATATCGGACATTTTTAAGCACACTATCTGACCCTCTTTCCTGCAATAAAGTGCTATTATTGTTTGCCTGGAACAGTATGTTTCTAACAGACTTTATTGTCAAATACTATTGTCATGCGTTTGTGCATGCACTTCCGCAATTGTTGGGCAGTTTCTCGGACTGATTTATTTTTTTCAAATTCACTCTCTAATGCTCCATTTCTAACTCCTATTAATCAGCGTGGTCACCTATATATCTCTCAGTAGGTGCTCATAGATCAGCTTCGAGCATTTGATTTCCTACTTGGATAATTTTCACGTCAAACTGTGCACCTTCTATGTGAAGATGGGTGCTATCATCCCTCTTACTGAATAAAGTTCATTAATATAATTGATCTTCCATATCACTAAATGTGCTTCGGTCTTGCCCGTTAACTTTGTGGACTTACAAATAGACCAATACGCCATTAGTTGGCTGTTTAAACATGACGGATCTCGGGCTCGTGGTTTTTTAACGCTGCCTCCAATGACTTTATCACACACTAACAAAACTTCCCACAGGTATCAAATTCTACTTTCCTTTTCTATGTAGCAATTAAGTGTGAGCCAAACAACGGTCAGCTCTTCGCAGGCTAGACTTTCATTTCTACATGCAAGAAAACTTTGTCATTGTGCTTCTACTCTCTCTTTCTCTGTTGTCGTCCTGTCACTAAGCCACAGGAATTCAAATTTCAGGCTGACAATCTTCCTTGTTTTGTTTTATTTTTCTTGCTTTCAAAACTTAGCTTTCTGCATTTTTTCTGCTGGAAAATTTCAAAATGCTTTAATAACTAATGTAGACGCTGTTGAGAGTAATGGTAGCATTTGGGGAGAGAGACGATAGAGTGAAATGTAGTGTGAGTCACTGGGACGACAACAAAACTAGTCACATTTATGTGAATATGTTTGCTTCGGGTAGTTCTCTAAATTTTTTCCCCAGCGTAAATGACTCATGTCCCTTTTAAAGGAGATGTGACGATGAGTGTTAGTAATATACGGGTGGCCAAGATATTGTAGACTTCCTCAGTTGTGCATTGAAGTTTGTGAGGAACACTTCATGTGAATTATTGGATGTTCAGTAAGTTTTTAACCCTGATATTTCATATCTGCTACTTTTAAACGCTAATTCCAAATGCTATTGAAGATAAAATTTCTTTTAATCTACTCAATTCCCACCTATTATCGAAATATAAAGTTCAGAAATTGATCATTTAAAGGCGAAGGTAGTGATGAGTTTAGATATGTCTGTTCAGATGACATAACAGGTGATTTTAAATAATTGTAGCTCTAATGGTCATCTTGTAATGAACCAGTATTTGTTTTAAATTCAGCAAATATTCATCCGTTCTTTTTACCGGTTTTAAACAACCTGGAGCATTTGGGAAATACTCTTGTGAATCGGACCCGTGAAGCCAATTAATCACTTCAGGTACCTAATTTGACACTGCATACACCAGAAATACGCAAAGCTTTTATTATGCGCGATTTCAAACTCGTGACTAGTGGCATTTCGTTTTTGTCTAATTGTGTCTTGTGCATTACAAAATTTTCACGTCTCATAATCGACCTTACTTCAGCTCTTTGGAAGGAATATCGTAATCGCAGTGGTGGTGGTGATACATGCAACGTGTAAGTATATTTAGTCCTGTAACTATTAGGCATGAGTCTTTTGACTGAAGCTTATTTTGATGACCTTCGTTTTAGTTTTAAGTAAAATTTAGTTATGGGCCCTTAATATCATTGCTGTCTGTTTTCAGAGAAATTTACATGCCTTTTCCTTGCTCAATATGACTTTACTCACGAGCAGTGAAAAAAATTGTCAAAGACAGTTTCAAGTGAAAATCACGCAAGTGATTGTAAAATTGATGGTCCTTAATTGTAGTCACCAAGAAATATATTTAACTTTGAAACCGTTTTATTTGTCGATTTACATTATAATCTTTTGCTTTTATACCTCCATTGTGATTGAATCTGATTCCTATCCTCTCTCGTTATTTATCGCTGCTTTATTAACCATGTATAATACTGTAAAAGTGCTCCCTGAAACCTATAAAACCAATCTGGCTCCCTCCCCCTTCTTATGATGCTTGCATTATTCCGAGTGGTTTTATTATACCCATAGTAGCGCTAATTCCAATAATGAAACTTTTTTAAGAATCTGACTCTCCCTGAAATAAAAATACGACGATTGGAGATTTTAATTGTGTTGTTACATAATTGGGAGATGAGCGCGCTAGTACGATAGTAGCAAGAGGGAAATAGAAATTTGAGTGGTGAGTATGTGCTTCTAGGTTATGTGAAAAGGCAAGGTAAGTTGATGCTCTGTGCCAACTTTTGGGCCTCAATGGACGTTTTATGTAAGCAGGCCGATAAGTCACTGTGTGATTTCCACAAACCTCTGCAATAGAATCTGTCATCATTAAACTTATGCGTTGCTTTCATTAGGCGATATCTTCATCTCTATTCCTGGTCGCCTCTCGTGGACCCGGCGATATTGCGCTCTTCGTTGTTCCAATCTCGAGATATACGCCTCCACCCTCGCTTCCACACCTTCCTCAAATAGTGATCCCAATGCCCCCTCATGCCAGCCGCTCCTTGTCCTGTGCCTCCCTCTTCAGCCTGGTGTTGTTGAAGTCTCTCCCGCAGCTGACAAGCGTCACCCCTCTGCTGTGCGTCTATCTGCTCCCGCTCTCTCTCCACATCCGCTATTGCTGGATGCTGGAGACACAATTATCATGGGTCGGTGGATTCGGGGAATTATTGAAGCTCTCGGACACATAAGATCAGGCCAGGTTCCTTCCACTTCAAATCGGCATTCTGAAATTATCACCCCGCCCTCTCCGGAACCGATCTACGATGAAGTAGCTTCTGTAACAAACTCCTCGAATCTCTCTAAGCGTTGGACATGGACGTCTTCCTCCGTCTATCGACCAGTTGTCATGGAGATGACCCCCTTACCAACACTGCCCTCAGCAGGACCTAGTAGTCCTACAGGAAGTTCACATAACGGTGGGGGAACTACTGCTTGTGGGGCTGGTGGGATTTATTCTAGTATTTACTATGATTCTGTTGTCCCGGTGGAGGAAGATGATTGTGAAGTGCAAGAGGAGGAGGATATTGATAATGATGCTAGTGAAATTCGACTGCATTCGTCCTCTCTTCATTCTCGGGTATGTCCAAAGCTAAAATATGTATCTTTATCAACACTGTAACATTAGATTACTGATGCCTGAAATTTATAGTGATAATTTTTAACTACTAAATCTCGTTACTAAAATTAAAATTCCCAACTTCAAAACAGAAATAGTATGCTTAAAAATGTCATTCGCCTGCTCTATTTCTTTAAATACTGCTAGAATGCCTTCAAGGCTGTTATTGAAGCTATTAATTAAACATATAGTCAATTTCAGAATATCGCAACTGTATGGCCAACTTTACACTTGCACGTGAGACCTATCGACAAATTGACTAGAAAGGGGTATTAGGTGCCACATCAGTTCTTCCAGTATAAACCAACTGAGGTGAGAGACACGTACATTTCTTTGCTGTCTTGACAAAGAATTCAGGGTTACTGGGGTAGAGAAATGAATCGTTTTCGAGGACGTTTGTGGGTGGGTAACAGTGGTTGTCTCCAAATCAGACACCCATTCCATTCTCTTACCGTGTCAATGGCGACCTCTCGGAAACTTCTCTCATCCATTTGTTTTAATGTACGTGAAATAATTCATTACGAATTAAATTTGGAGCGTGTAAGAGGCAATTCTTAAAAAACGGAAATGTTTGGTTAGCCCAAAAAGCAATAATGACTTACCAAACAATTTGGAAATTAAATTACAATTATCACCTCTTCTGGTTCACGGAATGACTTCGAAACGCGATAGAAGTTGAAAACCACTTGAACGAGTATTTTACTTCAAAATCGGCAAGTTTTCGCTAGTAAAAGAGGTTTTACAAATTGTATTGCCGACGGGATTGAGTTGAAAATGATGGCGAAAACTATATCATTTACATAATCTAGAAATTGTGTTTCTAAGGTGCTCGATTTCTTATTGGTACTCCTAGTAGTTAAAATTCTATGATTTGAAAACTTTGACTTATTATCAAGGCTAAGATTTCTATTTGGCTTTTTATTTTTAGACTTCACATGACATGCTGTCAAGGTCCTTCTCAAGTCTCCAAGTCGCTTCTTCTTCTGATGATTCAACGGGTTATTCCAACTCCCTTCTAAGAAACCGAGAGGATCTTAGTTGTGGTCTGAGGCTTCGCAGTTATAAAAGTCTTGATTGGAATTTTTCTGCGAGTTTTTCACAGGAAACTGAACTACCAGCAACTCCACAGTGTATATCCGATGATAAAGTCACTTCATTTCTGGAGATGAATTCCGGTATGTTCATTTTCCTTATCTATTTAAATCTATGCTACTTATAGCATATTAAGTAGTCATTTTATTCACTCCAGTTGCTTCTGCCACTCCAGAAGTGTCCGTTGCACGTAGCTATTCATATGCCGCCCAGACAAATAATCAGGAGAAAATTGAGGAAGGAGATTTGCCGACTCCCCGAGGAATAACGATTCCTCTTGGACGTGTTGGAGCTTCGCCGCATGATCCACCACCCATTGATGAAGTGAAACAAAATAAAGTGGAAACCTTCAACGCGAGTGATTTTGCTGATGGTATTGAGGAAGCATTGAATGCTATTGTAAGTTTTTTATTTGACGTTTATTTAATTTCAGGAATGCCTAGTACTTATTTAATTCCTAATTTCCATTTCTTTGTACCTATTATTCCCTATCTGAACCATCATATAGTCTTATTGGTGCCTGCTTTTAACTTTATGAAATTATATTTAATTAGATATAACTAAATCTTGTAAGTTTACTGATCAGTTTGTTTTGGCAAACTCTGCTAACATCGTTCAGTCTAATATTTTTTTACTTTTCGCCTTAAATTACGGACTGCAGAATCTCACTCCCTTTTATCGTTTGTTAATTATTGCTTACCTGCCTTCTCTTATTTACCATTTCTTGTGATTTCGCTATCCATAGTTATGTTTCATGCTTCGTATTTCGCCAACTCTGTTTTACCAATATGCTAATTTTGTAAATTAATTTTATTAACTCCAGAATACTTTGCCCTCAGTCTGTTGGAACATTTCGTATTTTTGGATCTAGTTTGTAGTAAGTAAATTGGTATTAAAATTTTTAACAAAAATTATTATTGTATAGATAAATGACAGAGAATAACAGTGCTTTTAGCGAATGATAAATAATAAGAGGTTTAAAGACTCTGAGACCAACTTCAAGGCACTCCAAATGGACATTTCACTTTCTAAGATACAAATTTCACTTATTGGCTGGTATTATTTAATCAAGAAGGGTTGGTCTTGCCGCTTCATTTCCTTTTTTCCCAATGGTTGAGTAGGCAAATAATTGTGTGAAGTACTAATACCTAAAAAGTAATTGCACTGTTATTCGTCCGATGAGGGCTAAACACATGATTCATAGGATGGGGAATCGAATGTTTCCTTTTTACTTGATTCCTCTTCTTTGATCAGAAGTTGTTCTTCCGGTATTAAGTTATATGATTGGTGCTCTTTTAAATTACTTCCCGTTATTTCTACCAACCATAACTTTGCGTATTTCTAAAATCAGATTTTTATAACTCGTTTAGTTCCTCATTTATAAAGAGCTCCAACTATTCAAATGAAGAAGACGTGTTGGTCAGACAGTGCTCCACTGTTTTGAGAAAATAGATCCATCTATATAGAATCAGATACGTAATTAATGATTGGCTGGATGTTCGACCAATATTGGGAGCTTTGAGTTCTTTACCGATAGTCTTACATATCCGAGTCTGAGCGTAGAGGTTCAATACTTGGTAGTTCAATGTATGACGGGTGTAATTGAGTATGCACTCTTGGTGTACTGGATCGAATACACCGAAAATATTTGACTAGCCTCCTAGTGATTCACTCTGTTTTTTTCTTAATAGTAAATCTGTATTAACTTGCAAGTTTTTAGTGGTACTTTAGGTCTCTTCAATAGCTACTCGGTCTTTTACTAGCGTACTACAAAATTGAGAGATACCAGATGTCTCAAATTAGTGAAAATTTGAGTTTGAAGCAAACGCAGGTCTTTTTTCTACCTTCATTGCTTCCAGTAAAATATAATGTTTTGTGTTTGCTGAATCTCAAAGGACATGGTTCTTTGTTTAAAGCCATTTCCTTTATTTGTAAATGGCGCAACTCTTTTTTTGCTCATATTTGTACGTCTTCATTATTCATTGTCTCTTTTCCAGCTCTTTTCTTTTTAATCTTTGCTTATTTGCGCTTTCTAAATTACAATGCTTAAATACCGTGTACAATCGGCTTTTATCCAATACTTGTCCATTTTTAATAATTAATTACCTCTTGATTTCAGGATGCAGTAACCAACGCTTCATACTACATTTCCTCTCCACCCTCTTCTCAACCGTCTTCACCATTTCCAAATTTGGTTCAACGCAACCAACAAACCTCACGGCAACGCGGACCTTCTAAAAGACGTAGAAACAATCGTAGGAGGAATTGATTGTTCTTCTTATTCCCTCATCCATCCAATTGTAAATTCCTATCCCCCACCCCCCCCCCCCCCCCCAAATTTCCCCCCTCTTCCTTTCCATATGCATCGTTCATATTTATTCATCTTCATCAATATTACATTTTCGTCTACTACGTAACATTTCCCATTGTGATTGTGTTTGAAGCGATACTAATCTTGCGGGTTTTTCTTCACCAAAAAGGCAGTAAATACACTTACTATCGCCTTTTCTTCTTTTTATGTGATTGAGTAGTAATGTTTACTTATCTTTGCTGCAAGTTTTAAATGCTGGGGAACTATTTTGGGTTCTAAATGGGATGATCCAAGGTGCTTGCTTTAGGGTCTGGGCAATTCTTGTGTTATAAATGAAAATATGGGCTTGGGGGTGTCATCCTTTCGGACTTATGCAGGCTAGTTGAAGTGCCATCTGAATAATAATGCTTGATGATAGTTACGGAAAGTCGATCTCGTAGTTATCGAGCTGGAGAGGTCAATAATAGTATGGAAGAGATATCTAAGCCTACTCTAATTCTTCTACTGAACATAGTGGGTGTGCACCGTACTTGACTTCGTCATTGATTTCTATGCCTCCCTTTTGGAGGCTTACCGATGTAATAGTAATCAGTAATTGTAGGTTTAGCCATTTTCATGCAATTAAGGGTGGCCTTTTATGGTATAGTGATCGTAATGGACATCATACGCGGATAATTTCAGTCCTCTGATAATTCATTAATGTAATACAAGTAGATAACATTATTCAACGAATAGGTAATTTTAACAAACCAAACCAGCTCAATTTATGTTCAAGAGGGTCATGGATTTTGAAAAATACGGTAAACCATGGCCTTTGCTAATAACTTAAAATATGAACAAAAATAACAAGGCAAGTTAAAGTACCTTATGAATTGCAGGATCTAGTTGATCAAGGCCAAAGGTGATGTTTGATCATAACAGAAGCACGTGCTTAAATGTACATGCATCTCAAGGTCAAAGGTTCAAAGTAAGGGAGTCCAGGGATGCTTAAGAAATTGAACGCAAATCTAAAAGGTTAGTTTTCATAGCTGCTACTTACACGCGGTTATCATCCGCAATTTATGTCCGCACTATCAAACCGCCTAATACTTCCAAATGAGGATAACTTTAACGTTGAAGTGAGGAGAATTGTGGGCCCCGTCATCGTCTAACGCCTAATCGCATGTCCACGCAACCAGTAGCCAATCAGAAGCCTTCGTCTGTTTTAGCGGACCCGTCATGTTGATTATGACTAACCTTACGACGTGTACACTTTTATCACAATATTCTTCCTAAATAAATTTGTTCCGTGCCATACGTCTTTTTCCTCTATAGTTGGGCTGTAGCTTAGCCAGGTCTGGGAGTCTAGCTAGATGTAGGAGAATCTGCCATAGACATTTCTGAATCAGTCAAGGCATTACTAGTGTTGTAAGCCGCTACAATGGCATTAGATAAACATGAATACTGCCAGAGTTTTCAATTACCAAAGTAAAATAGTTAATTACAGAAATGCTTACTTCGTGCATGGAAAATAAGGCACAAAAAGCTGACAATATTTAGGAAGTGCTAGATTTATTTACTTAAAGTGCGATAAATTGACAAATGGGAAAAACCTGAGGGAAATTTAATGCCTAAAGAAGCATGGTCTGCCGAGGGTTTTTGCGCTTCCAAAATGAGTGTCATCACGAAAAAAAATGAAATGATAAATAGGGACTATCAACACCCATATTAATTATGGGGATCAGAGATAAAAATAATTATTTCCCCAAGTCCTTTAAGCAAAATGCATCTTTTCGTCAGATTTACAAAGTACCCATATCATTATTTGGAAAAACAGAAGTCCACAAGGACGTCACCAGATGCCAATGCTGGGCTTTCCCAACTCAAACTAAAATTATTGTTTTAGCCCTGCTTGATAACTTGTGGGCCTTGGGGCATTGGCCACCATAGCGCTATGGATAATGATTGAAAGCCTGCAGATTGGAGACGTCATTTTGACATCATGGTTGAAGTAAGCTCACTATTTTACGGACACATGGGTGCATTTAAATAGAGTCAGTTCTTTTCTAGCCATCCTATTTAGTTCTACCTTTCAGCTGTGACCAAATGTCAATAGCAGCGTCTCCGTAGTCGAGACGTCCGGTGTCTCTTAATTAGAGTATATGGCTTTATGACTAATTAGTATACTTTGATCATCTGTTTATATCAAATGGCAGAATTTATGGTAGTTATCATAAAGCCTTTAGTTGACTTCGGTCTTCACAGAGAGGAGGAACATCTAAGTCAGAAAAAGTCGAGAGGGGAGGGGATAGAAGAGTGGCTCACAGATGTAAAAGAGGCAGACACAAGGGTGGTGGAAAAGGTAAGGTGAGGTGAGTACTGTGAAGTGGTGGAATATGACATACTGTGGGATCACAGAGAGGAGGAGGAACATCAAAGTGAAAAAAGCCGAAAGAGGGGGGTGGGGAACGGAGGAATGTTTCAAAGATGTAAAAGAGACAGACAGACACAAAGACAGAAAAAAAGTAATATGTGTATTGTGGAAGTGGCGGTATATGTCATAGTGTTGTGTCATGGTAGTTTGAAGTGAGAAGGCAACTGCCGATTATTAATAGATCCTTTTGCCGTATGNACAGTGGCACTCTCCGACTTACCCGACTGGCCAAGAATCGAANGTAAGCTCACTATTTTACGGACACATGGGTGCATTTAAATAGAGTCAGTTCTTTTCTAGCCATCCTATTTAGTTCTACCTTTCAGCTGTGACCAAATGTCAATAGCAGCGTCTCCGTAGTCGAGACGTCCGGTGTCTCTTAATTAGAGTATATGGCTTTATGACTAATTAGTATACTTTGATCATCTGTTTATATCAAATGGCAGAATTTATGGTAGTTATCATAAAGCCTTTAGTTGACTTCGGTCTTCACAGAGAGGAGGAACATCTAAGTCAGAAAAAGTCGAGAGGGGAGGGGATAGAAGAGTGGCTCACAGATGTAAAAGAGGCAGACACAAGGGTGGTGGAAAAGGTAAGGTGAGGTGAGTACTGTGAAGTGGTGGAATATGACATACTGTGGGATCACAGAGAGGAGGAGGAACATCAAAGTGAAAAAAGCCGAAAGAGGGGGGTGGGGAACGGAGGAATGTTTCAAAGATGTAAAAGAGACAGACAGACACAAAGACAGAAAAAAAGTAATATGTGTATTGTGGAAGTGGCGGTATATGTCATAGTGTTGTGTCATGGTAGTTTGAAGTGAGAAGGCAACTGCCGATTATTAATAGATCCTTTTGCCGTATGAATATACGTTGTCCAGGTGCACCACGTGGAGGTAAGTCTATCGCTCACTCCCTTGCACCACTCCGGCTCTCATAGATTTAGAAAAAAACCCTTGCGTGTTGTCAACCTGAATCATAGTTAAGATGAAAATTATGCCATGGCATATTTAAAACTTTGTAATTAGTACATTTTTGAGACAACAAGTTGGCATCTAAGTTTAATGTCAATTTACTGTTGTTTATCATCATGTGTTTGTGCAATATGTATCGTGTTTATCTGACCCTAAATAAGATCAAACCTCACATTTTGAAATTTCCCTTCGTAGAAACATAAGCAGAAAAGCTTGGATTCTGTTGCTCCATCTGATCTGTAACTTCTTAATCATTATGTAAAATAAGAAATGGAGGGGAATTAATCGATAGCAGTTACACGCAGTCGAAAAAAAGAATCTTTCCACTTTCCGGTTAGCATTTACATTAAAAATCTCTATAGGAAAATCACCCGGAGAACAGACAACTCTTCTAAATTATGTATCTTTGCTATTCTATTATTTTAATAAAAGGACTGGACTTTTGGCGGCATTGAGTGGTTGCTTGAGTAGCCATCTCAGTTTCTATGGTTAGCAGTTTAATAGTTAAGGCTTCTGAATGGTGTGCTACGATGCTTCCTCATATGTAATTAGCCCTTACGTATGGCCTTATAATTCAATTTGGAAAATCATGCAGTGAAGACTATGCCATGATTCATTTTTTTCTTAAAATGATAATTCATGTGAGTATGGGTGTGTGATAGACTTACCTCCACGTGGTGCACCCTGGGCAACGTATACTCATACGGCAAAAAGGCTATAGACCAGCAGTTGACTTCTGACTTCAAACTACCATGACCAACTGTATGTCATATTCAACCACTTCCACTTCATGTATGGCAAATTAATGGGACTTCATCACCTTTTGAGGTGTTTTCCCAAATTTCTCATTAAGTTGACATAATAACTGAGTTTCTTAGATTATCCGTTTACCTTTTTTGATAGTTCTGTTGACTTTATTTTCTGCCTTCAGAGAAAAAGGAAGAAAGTGTTATTGAAGTTGTGAGAAGATAGCGTATGGGTGGATAATGAAACCGTAAAGTACGGATGAGTAAATTGTCCAAACTGTCACCTTGTTGCCTTCTAAAAGTGTAACGGATGCTACACAGAAGCCGTGCCAACGAAACCTCAACTATCTCTCTGTCGAAATCCGCAAGCATGTAATTGCTCAGAAATTAGCAA